TGGGTGGACGAAATCTCTTGATTTTCTCACTTAAATCCTCATCGCTATGAGAAGAATCAAACCAAGTTTTTGTTTTGTTTTTTATTTTATTTTTTTTAACCTAGGATGGGCTACGTTGAACCGCTTTTTCCAACATTTTTCTTTTTCTTTAATTTACTCATTATTATTATTATTATTATTATTATTATTATTATTATTATTATTTCGTTTCTTAGTCCCACAAAACTAGAAATAAATGTCTGTTTCTCATTGCAAATAATTAGAAAATAAGTGAGGTGGGTTTAGGGTAATTTTGTTGTTAAAATGTTATGTTTCCATAAAGTACCGTATGTTAACACACTTCTATAGCCTCTTTGGAAAAAAAAAAGACATACTTAATAATAATAATCCTCTTGAAACATTACGCTTCAAAGCACATACCTCCGATCAAAAGCTTGCACTCGCTGGCAAACAATTTCGGGCCTTTTCTTGGGAAAAAAAAAAACCCAGAAAGAATCAAAGCATACCGTATCCGCCGTGGGGAATCAACCATCCAAAATAAAAGTCGAAGCAAAGCACATTGGGCAAGGCTGACTGGAAGTAGTTGGGTTTCGTTCGGTTTCTGATTACACGGTTTTTGTTTTGGAGCACATTTTAGAGAGAAAATGCTTATGCTGAACATTCTGATTTTGCTACACAAATCACACCAGGGAAAACCCCAATGTAAATATGTAATTATTATACCAGCCGCACCACACTTAGGGAATCCCTGCAGTAGGACAACAAAAGCTGCCTTTTAAACAATACAGCGGATCACAACACAGAGGGGACTCAAGGTCTTCTGTGTTCATTGTTTAAGGCTACTGTCCTCTCATAGGACGGTACCATGTTACATTCAGTGGCAAGGTGACACAGTGTTGCGATGTCACACAATTTGCGTCATTGTAGCCGGGATCACCATTCAGCTTGTGCAAAATCAAGCAAAATTCCGTAAAATGTCGGGATAAACTGAACTAAACTGGACTGCTGGTGAGAGCGGTTCACATAACCTTTTATTTTTTTGTCCCCTTGGACGGTTTGAACAACCAACAACAAAATTAAAAATACGACTCACCACCAAACTGAATGTAGTTGTTGTAACTGTATTTAGCCGATCCCATCTTGGGGTAATCGGAGAAAATGACACTGCACGTAGTATTTATCTGCAGTGTAGTCCTCGTCACTAAAATAAGATGCCGAAAATGGAATCAAGGTATTTGGTGCTTTTTGATAGTTTTGAAGGCTTTATTTCCTCTTTAGTCAGCGTGTCAGAACATATTAAACAAAACAAGAGTGCCGCATGAGAATCACCTGGAGCGCGAAAGGCAAATTTTAAAACAGGACTGCTGGCATTGTCTCTTCAACACAGATTTCTTTTCTGTTCCTTTCCTGTGTCATCATATGTCCTTTTCCTCATTCCCAAGAAGCTTTCCTCCATTTTTTTAAAACTAATTTTTACTATCCTGCCACCTTACTTTTTTTTTAAATTTTTATATGAGCTAGTCGAGCAGTTTGTAGAGAGGCACACACGGACTCACCTGATTTTCACAATAAAACTCCTTTCAGGCTCTAACGGCCAATCAAATTTCCTCTCTCCCAAACGGCTCAGTGGTCGGGGACGGCTGCAGCTCTTATGTATAGTTCAAGACTTCAAGGCCACTTCATCCATTCATCTACTGTCAAGTGATCACACAAAGCCCTGCTGCTACTGCTTTTGGATTATCTCTGCTAATGCATCCCCCCCACTCTCCGTTCCATTTGACTAATGACAAGCAACTCAACTCAGCTGTGACAAAAGCATTTCCACATGTTCCACGGTGAGCATTTAAAAAAAAAAAAAAACAACAACAACAACCATTCCATGATGTTATAAGCTGATTGTAAATGCTCCAGGATGTTTGATGCTTTTTCATCCGGAGCCCATTTGGCCAAGTTCAGCTTATAAAACGTTTCTCCGAGTTGACGGGCTAGCATTCTCATTCACTTTATTTCAAAACGACAAAGACTCGCCAAGGACCGTCAGACAAAACACCCCAACAAGACACCCAAGCCAATTCTGTCATTGAGTTGCAGTGTGTGAGTGTTTTTGCCCGGTCCTTCATGCTTGTGGCATTTTTGGCATCCGCAACACATTCAATCACTTATGCTAATGTAACAAGGATGCCCATTGTTTTTAGACATGGACTTGTATTCATGAAAACCGCTTGGAACAACACAATGAAGCTTGGTAAAATGGAACGCCATGTGTGCATGCGTGTGTTTTGGTGTAACGTAGATAACATTTCACAGCATCTGATTAGCAACTGATTACGACGTCGCTGAGCTTTGCGGTGAATGGAGCCACTGTACGGCGAGATCTTTTCTTTCCCAGCAATCTCATCGTGGTAATGTTCCGTGAATGGGAGGTTTGTGATGAGAAGAGTCACTAAATCAAATACATAAAACAAACAAGAAAATATAGAGATAAAACTAACCAGGTGCATGAATCACGATGCAATTTCGGTGACCTCAAGTGAAAAAAAAAAATCACGAAATGTGCCGTACTTTAACATCTTTGATTATGGAAAACGTTGAGAGCATTTTTCATGATGCACATCATCATTTTATGATTACGCCTGATTCGGAGTCCTGCTATTAAGGTAGTTTTGCCATTCACTGTTCAGCCGGCGTAAACGTTGCTGCAATTTACTACGGCAGAATATGGAAAAAGTAGGAGCAAGGAACAAACAAGAGCAGCTTTTACTCGGGTAAATTATGACGAGTCGTTTATTTTTCAGGCATTATTGCTACTTTTTCACCAATATAACTCGCGAAAAGTGACTGGCTTGTCAAAAACACGGAATATAGGCTTGTAGGTCATAATCACAGTTGGGAAACCAAAAAAATTACACTGCAACAAAAAGTCTGGACAAGCACTTAATGCAACTTAAAACCATACTACTAGCACAGTGCTAGTGGCCAATCGGTAGAATTGCTGGTCCACCAACGTTTGAGACTAAATCAGCGCTACCTGCTTTGCCCCGCACCTCAGGTTGGTTTTTTTGGGAAGGGCAGTCAAGAGGTCTCTGGTTCAAATCCCAGTTCCCGTGTGGAGTTTGTATGTTCTCCTCGTACTTGCATGTGTTTGCACGTTCAGTTCATTAAAGACTCCACATGCAGACGCACGGATGATATGACGGACAATCTCAGTCCGACGAGTATAAAAAGGGTTTCATGCTGTCCGATTGTATCGAAAAACATCAGCGCGCCCAAACACTGAGGGTGTGCATTAATAAAACATGGCTTCCATGAAATAGGCATAAACGCAACTCATATAAAATGCCTTGGTATTGACTCTCATTGAATGAGCAGTGACAGTTAACAGTAGCTTGACTGGCCTCATTGTTTAGCGAAGGAGGCCAATTCGTTTGAAAAGGAGCAAAGCCGTTTATCAATTATTCAAAGCCACTGTATTCAGGCAGCGTTTTTTTTTTCCTCGAGTGGCACATTGAAATAGCAGCTCTCTCTCCTGTTGGTCCCCCGATTCTTCCACTCCCTCTCTCTCTCTCGCGCGCATCCACACGCAGACACACATGCACAGTGTGACAAATACACATCAGTGACACACGATTGCTATTGTTAGAGGATCGGCAGATCAAACGCTCCATGGAGCAACGCAGCGCGGCTGGATTCCAAGGTAGTCTTACTGTAAGGCATCTATTCGCAATACAACATGTCAGTGGATGAATTGTTACAAGGCAGATAAACACTGCTTAGACTGTTTTCGCAGCCTCTGGAAGGCGGCTTGGTCAGATTTACAGACCGTCTCTAAAATGCCTCCAGGAGATTTGCGTGCCCCAAGGGCAATGTTTTAGAAAATGATTTTTTTTTCTTTTAATCACACAATTCTATATGGAAATCTGTTGGTTGTTCCCAATGCACGAAAAGCTAAAATCATGTTGGGAGCTCTATATGTTGGTCATGCCTATACTAGAAGACACAGAGAAGGAAACCACTGGGAGTATTTGGGTGTTGCCATGGGAGGCTCTGGCGTGTGGCTTGTGAGGCCTCTCTCTCTCTCTCTCTCTCTCTCTCTCTCTCTCTCTCTCTCTCTTTTCTCAGTGCTTGTTTAAAAAAAGCAACACAAAACAGCATGAAAACAACAACTTTTCAAAAGAACTCATTTGGTTGGAACTCGCAACATGACTGATATATTAGACTAGAGCAATAGTGACCACTAATGGTTTCCTTGCACCATGCACATGCAGTCCCTGAACACACCCCAGTTTGAGTAGCCAAAGCCTGCTACCACTCCTTAACCCAATAAGAACAATACATGATCAATAGCTTCATATCGCATTACCAGTAATTTAAGTAATCCCAACATGGCATTGTACGGATCCTCTTTACATCTGCTTTAAATCACCACTGTCATTTGAATAGCCTATATTCAATAAAGGAGCAATGTGGTTTAAACATCTCACCATTTTTGTATGATTATTCATTCGCATTGGGTTTGTTAGGATTGATGAGAATAAAACCGGCAGTAAATCATTTACAATTTGGTGAAAAGTCTTGCTTAAGTTCCCATTTGAACATCTTTTTTTACACTTAAAATGACACCTCACGACTGTTGTTTCGTGTGTTTCATCGTATTTAAATTGAATAATATGCAATACTGTCGCCCTCCCGAAAATGACACCGATTTACAACAATAAAAGGAATTACGCACTGATATGTGCTCCACAATAAATAGACCGGTAGGAAGAAAACACAACATAATCACCATTTGGTTTCCAATGCACTGTTCAAACTTTCAAATCGCTTAATAAAAAGGTGAAGTAAGTTGTTAAAAGTGGAAAGTGAGCCCCGTTGCAGTCCGGTGCACTTGACGCCCGGCTATACAGAAAGCAAGCCTCCTCCTCCGGTAGGCAGCGAAAAGAGCGATTGAAATAAAAGGCAATAAAGGAGCTTTGAAGTTCAACAAAAAACTGAATTCTTACCTTCAGCTCATGAATGGACGGATCTCGTAGCGGTTGCTCGACTCTTGTCTATTAGTAATCCATAAAATGTGATTATTTAACGCAACGACTCACAACAAAACGAGCGCTACTTTTCTCTCGCGCGTCTCTTCTTTTTGTGTGTGCGTGAGCGTGTGAGTGCGCGGCGCTCAAATCGGAATATCCATCTCGAAATCCACACTACAGAACTAGAAAGAAAGAAAAAAGAAAAAAACACACGCCGATGTGTTCGGGAGGCTCTAAAAGTGTCCCAAGGGAATAGTGAAGCGGGAGTCCCGGTTGTGGCGACGGTCACTGAGGTTCGCGCAGGCTCGTCCGCGACAGCCGCCGACGGTCATCCTATTTGGGGATGAAGCTTCTTAGCAGACTGGAGCTGGAGCGCAGGCGAGCCCAGCTGTCAACCACCCGCCACACAAAAAAGCGCATGCACAAACATACACACACACACACACACACGCGTTGGGAGGAGCTACGTCTCCAGAACGAGGGGCTATTGTGTCAATGGGTGCCAGTTATGGACAAGTGTATTTCTATTTTTACGCAAGGGGGGAGAAAGCTGCTAATAATAGTTTAGACTCTGGGAAGAAGAACGAGGTGTGTTTCAAAATGGGATTCATGCTGTCTGAACTGAGCTGCAATGCACTATAGAGCAGGTGTCAAAGTCAAGGCCCGGAGGTCAGATCAGGTCCGCCATTAAATATCTTTGCGGGCCACAAAAGCCTTTCTGTCAAAATGGATTTGTTTATTTCATATTTTCAAATGTGTTCACTTTTAAAAGACATTACATTATTTTCTAAACGCGGTATTGTCCATCCATCCGTTTTCTGAAATGCTTTTTCCTCACAAGGGTTGCAGGCGTGCTGGAGCCTATACCAGCCGTCTTCAGGCGGTAGGTGGGGTACAACCTGAACTGGCAGTTTGCCTGCGTATCACAGAGTCTACAGTATCATTGTTACATTGTTAGCTAACTTAATACAGTATTGGCTGTCATCGTTACAATGAATTGTAATCCCTCCGCCCATAGAAGGATCAACACAGCCGCTGGTGCACTTTAATTGCTCGATTGAACAATGGCGACAGAATAAGCACAGGCATATATTCACATAAGCGTGTACCTTGCCAACACTGACGCAGAGTCACTCAACATGCACAACTATTCAGAAAGAATGTGCGGTTATCCACCTACCGTGTATATATAAGACATACATACAAGTTACAAGTTGTGATAGTTCATGAAGAAAAGCATAACCTCATAACATTAACCTCTTTTGAATTCAAGATGGTGACTGATTTTGCAATGTTTAGTGTCTTGAACTATTTCTACAGTAAGTATTCATTTTCACAGAACTGTATTCTTCACATTGGATCAGGGCTCAGGAAACGACCAATCATGGTTCAGCTTCAGAAAGCAAGTGAGCCATGATTGGTTTATGATTGAGCAATAATGATGTCATCTTCTATTGACAGAAAGTGGCAAAATGGCCGCCCCCTGAGATGGACAAAAACAGGTGGATTTTATTACTTTAATCATATTACACAAACGCAATATTGATCAGAATGCTGTGTTTAGACCAATGGGGCTACACAGAACATACTGTCAAGAATTTTGGGGGTTTGATAAGCGATCGTTTAAATGGTCGTCAGCGCGCTCTCCGGTGGATAAAATTAGTAACAACAGTTGCTTTCAGCAGTTCGTGTGTTCTTTAGCGCCACAGGCTGGGTTGGTCCCCCTGATGGGATGGTTCTGGACAGTGGGCCGTACGTTCGACAACCCTAGTTTAACTATTTCCTATTTCCTTTTTAATAACTAAAGTTTTGAATACAGGCAGTTGTAATCATTTTGAGTGGAGCGTTAATTATTCACAAAAATTCACTGTTCACCAAACCGTGAATAGTAAGGGATGATTCCACTGCAGTGGTGTGACACAACACTGAAGGAGTCTTGCTCAGTTGCAATGTGAGTTAGGGGACTAATGTGATAGAGCTAATCGAATCACAAACCCTTTGGTCACATGCAGCAATGAGGCCCTGAGCATGGCCTATCCTTCCATTTTCGATACTACTTATCCTGTTCAGGGGTGAGATTGGATATACACTCACCCCAAAAATACTCAGTGGAAAGCCATGCTACCACTGTTCACACCTAAGGAGCAATTTAGAGTCTTCAATGGACCGACCATATGTTTTTGGAGTGTGGGAGGACTACACAGAGAGAGGTCACGCAAGTCCAAAAAGAACACCCAAACTCCACATAGAAAAGCCTGAGCTGAGATACAAACTCAGAACCTTCCTGCTGTGAGTCCTGAAGCACCCAAGCTCACATATTTTGCTTCGCAGCAAGGTCGCGGACAAACTGACCTTCTTAAAGCAAAGCACACGAGTGCCCTTTTTTGTTCTTTATTTAAAAGTTCATGCAAACTGCGTTATGATTCAAAGCATCTGCTGTATGTTTTTCAAGGGTCACGTCTGTCAATTCTTCTGTGTTGGACATCAACCCCCCGACTTCTCCCCACACTTGCCCCCTCCCCAACCCTTTCCACCATCCACTGGGTCCCGCTATACACAAACATGCTTTTATAGCAGGAATGGGCAAAGCGTGGACCACGGTCCCCATATGGTCCACTCTGAATATTAATGTGGCCCACGGAGCATTTAAATTCAAGTGTCCTGTGACATTTCTTTGCTGTCAGGCCATCTCCAGAACTATTACTTTTCTGGTCATTTTGAAAGAAAAAAAAAAAAGGGGGATTAAAAACGATTTATAGATATATTATTTATTTATTTATTTATTTATTTGTCTCAATAAATAAAAGAAGAATATTATTGATTTATTGGAATAAATAAAATACAAAAAAAAAACATTAATTAAATGGATCCTTTTTTCACATGCATTAATGATAAACAATCGCATGGGAAAATAAGAATGAATTATTTAACAATTTTACACCATTTAGATTACATTTTTGAACTTTTTTTCCCCCTGATCTACAAATGACCCAGCCCATCTGTTCATCTTAAAATCAAATGTGGCCCTCGAGCGCAAGACTTTGCCCTCACCTGTTTAACAGCCACCAAGGTTGAATTTCTTTAACCATTTGATCCGATCTTATCAACGGGGGCCATAAAGTAAAAACGCTTATGAACAACTGCCGTTTTCAAAAAGTTACACGGTTCATTTAGACTACAATCTGATGTCAATTTTTAGCCTAAGGCTAAACTAAAACCGGCACCAATTTGTCGGATAAGTAACAACGGCAACCTTCAAAACACATGTTGCTGAATTGTGTGTATGAATAATTCCATTTATTTAAAAAAGAAAAAGCTTGAAATATAAAACAAAAGCCTTGAAATAACAAGCCACCTGCAGATAAGAAGTTACATGTGCATACACCGTGTGTTGTAATTGCACCTCTGCCAGGCCCCATTGCCATCTAGTTGGTGTAGCGGCTCAGTACAGAAGTGCCTCCACATGGCTCCGTGCCAAAACGTCTACTCTGCAGTACACTAATGGCCTTGTGCCTGCAGGTCCTCTCTTCATCATTTCATCTGGTTTAAACTTGTTCACCAACATGCAACTGAAGCCCGAAAGCAGACTCTGGATGGAAAGTGATGTTAAAACACCCAATAAAGATGAATGCATTCATTTCCCATTTTAATCATGTAATAATGTATTGTTAGGAGGCTATTTTACGTTCGTTATGGCTCCGCAGGTGTTTGCAAACTTCCTGTACATAAAGAGCTATGTCCCACTTTGTTTGAATACTTCAAACAAACAAACAAAACAAAACAAAAAAAATGTGACGGTTGTTAGGGGTATTAACGTAAAAATCATGCCGCTAATTTCCAGGGAACAAAATATGGTTCAGCTACGAATAATAGAAATTCCAAAAATGTGTTTTACTTTTACTATAGCATTAAAAAAAAGTATGCTGCCACTGCAGAAGTGAAAATGTGATGATAACCACTGAACCAGAAATGGTACTTACTGCAAAATAAGAACAGTTAGGCCTGCTGAGCGCAACATGAGCATACAGTGAATCAAATTTCCATTCATCCCTTTTCTTTTCCATTCATCCCTTTTCTTAAGCACTTTTTCTCATTAAGCCTACCCCAGAAGACTTTGGGTGAGGGTGCACCCACAGAAAAGCCACCATTTATATTTAGTCAACGAACCAAATATGCATGTTTCTGGAATATGGGAAGGAGCACTGCAGAAAATCCACAAATGCATTAGGAGAACATGCAAATGCCGTGCAAGGAGGCCGGACCTGGAATTTGCACCCCAAACTTCAGAACTATGAGGCATGTGAGGCAAAATTTAATAACCACTAGTCCACCATGCTATCCTAACTACACTTAATATCCATCCATCCATCTATATTCTAATCTCCTTATCCTCACAAGGGTCGCAGGGCGTGCTGGAGCCTTTTCCAGCTGTCTTCGGGCAGTAGGGGGGGCACACCCTGAACTTGTTGTCAGCCAATCACAGGGCACATATGGATAAACAACCATGTGTTTATCCATGCTAATGAGCTCACAATCACACCACGGGACAATTTGGAGTGTTCCTTTAACCTGCCATGCATGTTTTTTGAAATGTGGGAGGAAACCGGAGTACCCGGAGAAAACCCACGCAGGCACGGGGAGAACATGCAAACTCCATACAGGATGGCCAAAGCTGGAATCGAACCCAACACCTCTGCCATGTGAGGTAGGCATGCTAACCAGTCGGCTACCATGCCGCCCATGGTTAATATCAATTTACCAAATTAATTTGACTTAATAGATAACCATGTTTCACTCTCCATTAGCCGTCTTCAAAGAGTGAATGTTGTACTTCATTTTTAGTTTCAACTTGTTCGTCTTGCTTACTCTCTTGTTACCACTCAATTTAATCTGTGCAGAAACGCAGGAATCTGATCTGCCGCATTCACCAAAGCGGTCCAAGGCACATTTGGGGCTGTGTGCAGAGACAAGGTGGTTGAAAAAGAGCAACTATCATAGGCTGGAATGGGCACAGACAGCAGGCACACACCGGGGATTCTTCATAAACTCAGCTTGGTTCCACACTGAGGCTGTTAAACTTCCTCCTTCCTTTGCTCTCGACCAATATTATTTCTTCAGCATCACCGCAGCTCTTTGTACAAACCTTGAGCTTTCCTGGAACCAAGCAACCATAATTTTTTGTGTAGCACTGAATGTAGCGCAGGGTTTCTCAACCTTATTGAGCTGAGGCACATCACATATTTACGCCCAAAAAAAATGTCGCACCACACCACAAAAAAAAAAAAAATTTGGTTAATCAAACAAGTCATTTATGTCACCTCTGCCATTTTGTGGAGGAGCAATCCATTGCTCTGCTGTCATTACACATTGCTGGCTTAGACAAATGAGCAAAGAATCAATTCAGATCATTTGCC